CAGGAGTTGGTGATGGACAGGGAGGCCCAGCGTGCTGCGGTTCATGGGGTCTCAAAGAGTCGGACATGACTGAGCGACTGAACTGAACTGAAGGATATGTTTAACTTTATATAAACTGCCTGAGTGGCTTCCAAAATGGCTATAATCTTTTACACTGTCATCAATAATTTATGAGAGTTTCATTTATCCCAGAACAAAGCTTTCATGCTACCCCTTTATAGCTATAGCTACCCATCCCAGCATCCCTAATCTGGTACCAACTAATCATTTCTCCATCCCTATACTTTTGTTAGTTTAAAAAAGTTACATAAATAGACTCATACCATAGGTAACTTTTAAAGACTGGTTCTTTTTACACTCAGCATAACTCCCTTGAGTTTCATCCAATTTATTATGTGTATCAATAGTTTCATTTGTTTGTTTTGTGTAGTATTCCATGGTATAGATACACCACAGTTTGCCACACTTTATTTAACCATTAACCTATTAAAGGGCACTCAGTTAATTTACAACTTTTTGGCTATTTTTGTGTTGAACAGATTTTTGCTCGAACATAAGTTTTATTTTTCTAGTGTAAATACCCAAGAGATCATTGGCTAGATGATATCATATGGTAGGAAAAATAATGGCTCTCCAAAGATGTCCAGGCCCAATCCTTAGAATCTGTGAATATGTTGCCTTATGTGGTGAAAGGGACTTTGTATATGTACATATATATTGAGGATAATTTCCTTGATTATCTTCATGGGCTCAAAACAATCAAAAGGACCTTAATGAGAAAGAAGCAAAAAGGTCAGAGTCACAGATATTTGAAGATGCTACCCTGCTGGCTTTGAAGATGAAGAGACATGAGCCAAGGAGTTGCAAGTGGCTTTTAGAAGCTGGAAAAGGTGAAGAATAGCTTCTTCCCTAGAGCTTCTAGAAGAAACACAGTGCTGCTCACAGTTTGATTTTAACTCATAAGATCTGACCTCTGAAACTATAGGTAATGAATTTGTGTTGTTTTCAGCTAGTAAGTTTGTGGTAATTTGTTAACAGCTTAAATATAAAGCTAATACATATTGTAAATGGATTTTTTGTTATAGAAGGAACTCCCAAACTATTTTCCAAAGTGAACAAGGGTGGGGGGTAGTAGACGTGGAGGAAGGGTAGTAGACATGACTGATATAGGCAGGGATAGATCACTAAGTCTCATAGGACAGGTTAAGGAGTTTAGATTTATCCATTGTGGAATAGGAAATCACCAGAAGATTTCCTTGGAAGAAAAGCTATGATCAACCTAGACAGAATATCATAAATCAGAGACATTACTTTGCCAACAAAGGTCCGTCTAGTCAAAGTTATAGTTTTTCCAGTAGTCATGTATGGATGTGAGAGCTGGACTATAAAGAAAGCTGAGCACCGAAGAATTGATGCTTTTGAAATGTGGTGTTGGAGAAGACTCTTGAGAGTCCCTTGGACTGCAAGGAGATCCAACCAGTCTATCCTAAAGGAAATCAGTCCTGAATATTCATTGGAAGGACAAATGCTGATGCTGAAGCTGAAGCTCCAATACTTTGGCCACCTGATGCGAAGAACTGACTCATTAAAAAAGACCCTGATTCTGGAAAAGTTTAAAGGTGGGAGAAGGGGACGACGGAGGATGAGATGGTTGGATAGCATCACTGACTCAATGGACATGAGTTTGAGTAAGCTCCAAGAGTTGGTGATGCACAGGGAAGCCTGGCGTGCTGCAGTCCATGGGGTCACAAAGAACTGGACACGACTGAGTGACTGAACTGAACTGAATTGAAAAGATTTCAAACAAGGGAAGGGGCACAATATGATTTATGTCTGAAAATCATCACTCTCATTGCTATGACAGTGATTTTTGGAATGTGGCAAGAATAGAGAACACCAGTTAAGAGATTACTACATCGATTAGGTTGATTGTGATGGAGTTGGATAAAAAGTGACAGATTTAAGATTTGTGTGTGGGAATATAGTCAACAGAATTGCTGCTGGACTGGCTATGAGTGTAAAGGAAAGAGATGCTTTTGCTTAAAAACTAGGCAATAATGGTGTCTTTAATATTGAATGATTATTATTTGGAGTATGTGGTGCTGAAAGGGCAGAGATATAAAATAAACCACTAAATATATGAATTTGAGTTGTTAATTGACAGAGGTTGGTTCTAGAAACAAATCTGAGAGTGATTAATTAGTATCAGTTTATAAACTTGGGTGGGATTAACCTGGAAGAGTATAGATAAAGAAGAGAAAAAAGGAATCAGGACGCTTTAATGTTATAGTGATGATAAGGGTTTCCCAGGTGGCTCAGAGGTAAAGAATCCACTAGCCAGTGCAGGAAATGCAGGTTCAATCCCTGGTCAGGAAGATCCCTTGGAAGAGGAAATGGCAACCCACTCAAATATTGTTGCCTGGGAAATCCCATGGACAGAGGAGCCTGGAGGGCTACTGTTCATGGGGTTGCAGAGAATCAGACACAACTGAGTGACTGAGCACACACACACACCACACACAATGTATGAAGAGCTTTAAAAATAAACCACCCAATAGTAACTCTTTATGGAAGGGGAGAAAGATGAGGAGAGTATCCAACCATGAAGCCAATAAAAAAAATCTTTCAGTAAAGATGCTATAGACACTTGTGTTGAATGCTACTGAGAAGTCAAATAATCTGTTTACGGCTGAAATTAAGTTGTGTCAGTTACATACAATGGAGAGTAGACCAAGAAATGAGGGAATGAGTCTAAAGATGGACAATGGAATCTGAGTTAGATGCACAAGGAAGGAAATGAGGAGATAGGAGGTGAAAGATAGTGATAAGGTTTGGTGAATCAATAGGTTCGGTGAAGCTGAAGTTAGATGTTAGAGCAAGAGTACTAAAATATGTGAGCTGCAGGTGTTGGTAGTAAAAGATGATTGAAATGAAGAAATTGGGAATGGTACAGTAATTAATGATGAGATCAAGGTCTGTGTGATCATAGGAAATATGGAAGAAGGCAACACTAGAATGGAAGATAAGAGACCCCAGGCAGGACGTTAAACATGTAGTCCAAGTGGACATTGAAACTACCAAGATGTCAAGAGTAGGGAAGGACAGAGCCAGTGAATTTACCCAACTGAACTTAATCTCTCTTTTCAACTTCCTTTTAAATTCCATACCTCCTTAGCAGCTTTGCCTTATTCTTTGCCCTTTGTGTACTTTTTTCCTACTCCTAAGATTAGGCAATGAAAATAAGTTTGTTGCTATCTCTCTTCTGTAGGACAAAGCCCCCATTTTCTAATACAGTGTTTCCATGTATGAGAGATTATAAATAGTGACCTTAAGACCTCTATATGATGGAAGGCAGAACCATTTCACTAAGAACCAGTCCAGTTTGGAAGAGATAGGAGAATCATGCATTAGAGAAATCATCTCATGACAAAGATATACAGAAACAGTCAAAATTTATTTTAGAAGAGGTTTTCAATTTTTAAATAATACAAAAATAAACAGCTATTTGTTTCAACACTTACAGTTTACATAATTTAATCATACATAGTCTGAGGCACCAAAACACTCACATATTCCAAATTCCCAGATTCAGTCATTCAGATATTAACAAATCATTTTTTAAAAAATCAATGAAAGTAACAGTTTTTTAATACAAGCTCTTCTACTGTTGACTCTTTCTTAACCATAAATCATTTAAACATAAAATCTTGAAAGTTCCCCTGAGTTATTTCTCTTTAATGAAATTTTATTTTTCTCCCTTTGCCTAACAGGCATACTTTTTCAATTATTTACATAAATACTGATTTTCAGTGCATGATTTAAAAATATTAAGACCCACAGTGCTTTGTAAAGAATGTTTCTCCAGAAAGTTAGGGGTGAATGAATTAATGAAACATCTGCAAGTCCTTCAAAAATGTATACACTGTCAGTGTTATAGCACATCCAGGGTAATGAGACAGCGTTCTCTGTGGGCTGGTGAATAGGTAAAACTTAAAGAATTCCAGCTTTACGTCTCAATATACCAGAGTTGGCTTCCTGTTTTCACAAATCTTAATCCAAACATTTATCTTATAGTAATAATTCGGAGAGGTAATCCTAAAAGATACATTGATTCTGACATAATGCCAAAAAAAAACCCACCATGCAGCCTTAAACCCAGTTTATAATAGTCATCCTAAGAAGACATAATAGCCCTCAATAAATTAAATTAATATACAGTACCAGAAAATGTCAACTGACAATGAGATGTGGAAAATAAACATTGTCTTCCTGGGAACTATTCAGCAATTATTTGCTTTTAAATGAGGAAAGACATTAATTAGAATAGGAATACTTTCTTGGTGTCAACAACTCCCTAGGGCTCTAAGGTATTGGGCTCTTTATTAGGTTATAGTTTATTTGTAGAGTTCTCTGCCTTCCACTTAAAATGAATGTATACCTTTTTGTAAAGGCCTTTTGTAGTAGTTCTGAGCTGAGGTTTTCCTGAAAACTTGCATAAGTTCAGGTAAGAAAGTACAGGCAGAGTCCAAAAAACACACACTCAGACCTTAAAACCAGGAAAACAAAATAGATGAAGTAAACTGATCTGAAAATGGCTAAAAGAAGACCATAAAAGGACCAGTGAGTAGACAGCTGTTTCTCATTCATCATAGGAGACGCCCTGGAAATATTGATAGTGTTGAAATGTGCAGCATTTTGTCATCTTGCAACAGCATTTAAGTGTTCAAACTTAGCTTTTGTTCTTATTATAAGTTGAAATTCAAGTAAAAAGATGTCATACTCATCTCCCATTGGATTGTACAGAAGAATGAAAACTGCTTTCCCCTTTAACTTGAAGAAACTTCGACATCTTTAAAATCAACATGAAAATCTTCACAAGTATGACCCCCTTTTCTCCTTAACAGAAGATGTTAAGTAACACAAGGAGTTTCATATAAATATTAAATAATTAAGTTAAAAGAAACAGTTCATATAAATAAATAAATACGATCACTAGGCTTCTACAGTTCGGTTGAACGTTCCTTTAGGAGGACTGTGGGGTTGATATCATCTAGTCCAGAGTGGGAAGAGCTTGCATTAATGGTGACTGTTTTGGTGAGGTGCCCGTCTTGAACACTGAATGAGGTAAAAGGACAGCCTTTCACGTTATTGCAGATGAGAGACTGAATTGAGGCAGTGTTGATGATTTTAAAACCTACTTCTCCACCAAAAGTGCTAGGCTTCCAGTACTCAGGAGAACATATAGGATTACCCATAAGTCCTTTCAGGGAGAATGGTGCTCCAGCTTCTACCATGGTCTCCCCAAAGATGGCGTCTGGACGAGGCTTCTCTACCAGAAGGGCGGGATACAGCTCCATGGCATCTATGTCTCCGTAGAGTGCTTCTAACTCTGCAGCCATTTCCTTCTCTCCTGTGAGGGTGACGAGGACAAAGATACAACCAATGTCAACCTTTTGACAAAATGAAGAGCTTTATCCCTTTGCTCAATTGGCTTTCAACTTCTCTGTTTCCATTTGCCCCCTGACTCTTTGAAGAAGTTTAGAAACTGTTTCTCACCTGTAAGTTCCTCAAATGATTCATAGGGCTTCAGCAGAAAACGTTTGCGATACTCATTAAAAGACTGGTATTTCATCTCTCTGCTCTGGTCAATTGAAGCCTTTGACACTTTCTCTACTGCGACTGGAAGATTCCTACCGCCAGCAACCTGTGGAATATGAATTAAATTGTAGAACACATTAACTGAGTTTTAGCATATGTAAGATTTTTTTTTCTTTTTTTTTTTTTTGGCCATGCCAAGTGGCCTGTGGGATTTTATTTCCCTGACCAGGGACTGAACCCAGCCCCTCAACCGTGAGAGCAAGAAATTCTAACCACTGCACTACCAGGGAATTCTCAAGATTTCTATTTGAAAAACATCCCTTGAGTGCCAAGTAGGTAAACTGATGTTACCAGTGGAGACCTAAACTATAAGTTTGGAATATTTATAGATTATTTCTATGATCTAGATTACAATGGTAACATTATATTATAATTGAGACCATATAATATTAAATATATATATTACATATCCTTATTTCAAGGAAAGATTACTAGCAATAACTAACCTTTCAGTAAGTTTAAGAAAAATCTTTCCTGCAGCAGACATTCTAGTTACCGACTAGTCCTTTGTTTAATTTTGTTTTTCACTAATAATGCTTACCCTGCCAGCATTTTGCCTGGTGAATGATTCAACAAACTGAGTGACACCATGTTCCAGTAAGATAGAATTATTATAGATAAACTGCTGATAGTTGTACTCCTGGCCATCAATCCGAAAGACGTCAGGCAGAAGGGGATGCCAGTGGTAGAGCGTGTTAAACTCAGCAGCAATACGGTTTTGGTACTGGAACTGTTGGTTGAAAAGCAGCTCTGGGTCAAACTTCAGTTTGAAGTGATAGCCACTCAAGTGCTGTACGTAGTCTTCAATCACAATCTTAATAGTTTCTCCTACGGGCACAAAATAAAAAATTGAAAACACGAATTCTTTCTGCTCACAAATGTTCAAGCAACTGAAATGCAACTGGTCATTTGGCATTCCTATCGAGACTTTCTTTTCCACCATTGAAAGGTAGGTGTCTGACCAATCCAGCTGAAGGACTGAATGAATATGGAGCAGGTGATTGTACACGCATGACACTCCCCCAGAATTACATTCCTCCCAAGCAAAGGAAACAAGTTCGTTTTCTTTGAGGAAGAGGGTTTTCTTTAAGTGATTTGCTCTTCTTGCTTACCTATCAGGATTAGCCTGCTTGTCTGGAACAACTGCTCATCGCCCCATTCTGGATGCTCTTGTTTAAGCACATCACACACTCTGTTGTGTTCCCGCAGCCAAATGGTGGCATACATCATCAGACCAGGCACCAGACCAAAGACCTCCTGGCCCACAGCAAACTTTAAGTGTTCAGGAACATGAGGTGGGTAGATCATTTCGACCTGAGTATCTTTGACTGTGGGAGGATACATCTCTCCATTAATCATCTAAGAAAGTATTAGTAAGAAGAGGTAAGAAACAAATTTTCATCATTAGAGATTTGGAACATAGGTAGGTGGTAAGTCATAAGGAATTCTTAATATTTAAATGGAACAAACCTGATATTTCATTTTTCCATCCTTGAAAAGGCGCAGCTTATGCTGTCTCTCTAAAGATTCACCATAAATGTGACTTAAGTCCACCTAGAAGATTATGGAAAATTTTTTATTTGCTACTGAAGTTGTTCTTACGTAAAATGCCTAGGATGTACTTATTATTAAATACTGTGATGATTTAGTTTGCTTTAAAATTTTTCAGTAACATTTTTTTTCACAGCCACAAAATAATAAATTAACTTGTTTATCCACTAAAAATAACCTCATAGCGTTTAAACCTAAATGTCTCCTATTAGTATCTCATATGGAGCCTGTATCAGAAATTTTCACTCTAATTATATGATATTTCTTTTAAAAAGCAGCAGAAAATGTTTTGATATAAAATACTTATTAATTGAAGCTATTTCACTGAAACCCAAGAAATAATAATGCTGCAAAAATCTTACCTTGTAATATTTAAGGCAGCATAATCAAGGTAACACATTTTTTTGAAGACAACTTTTTTTGCAGATCCAATATTTTAAACTAAAAATATGAGTCAAACTACAAATAATAATCTGTATATATGTATGTAAGTATGTGTGTGTGTGTGTGTGTTTTTATTCAATCAGTGAGATAAAATGGAAACTCCATTAAGGTTTGTACACACAGAACTTGATTTGCTACAAATTCTCATTTAACTCTGTCTTACCCCATGGTTCTTTCCCTTAGTGAAAGCTGGTCCTCGTTCAAAATCTGTCTTGAAAAACTGATGGGTGAAGTGCTGGGCAAAGAATGCAAACATCATATTTGTGCCTTGGGGATCAGGAATGAACTTTCTTCTTAGAAGTACTTTTTTCACAACTTCTTTTGAATCAGGAAGCTCTTTCCTCCCTATAAAAAATTAGAAAGCCAAAATAAGAACCCATCTATTTCTTTAAGGAAGCAGAGAGTGAACTGTCAATTTATCAGGGTCTTCTTCACTTACAGGAAAAATACAACTTTGAACAGGATCGTAATATTAGTGGAAGTTCTAAGATATAGGGGAACAACCTCTTACTGAATAATCTTTAACTAGTATTAATTCAGTTTTAATGAAAGAATTTGAGAACATATGACATTATACCAAAATGTCTGGGCTTCCCTAGTGGCTCAGATGGTAAAGAATCTGCCTGCAATGAAGAAGACCTAGATTTGATGCCTAGGTTAGGAAGATTACCCTGGAGAAAAGAATGGCAGTACTCTTGCCTGGAGAATTCCATGGACATAGAAGCCTGGCTGGCCACAGTCCATGGAGTCACAGACTTGGACTCAATTGAGTGACTAACATTTTCACTTTTTCATACCAAAATGCCTACTTGCTTCCATGGAATAGTTTCCATGGACTCACAATTTCAAAAAATATCCAGAGATATCCATAAGAAGGGAAAAAATGGTTTTATTAACAAATAATCATAGTTTGGGGCAAAATTTTCTAGGTATCAATCCAATCCCAGTTACAGTTAATACAACTCTGTCTCCTCCACTCACCTTTCACACCCATGGGTGTTGGGCAGTCATCGGGCACGGGAGGAAGGGCTCTGGTGTAATAGGACAGGTTAGAAAAGGCTTCCCAGCTTTTATAGCTGTAGTGCACATTATAAGTGGGCGGACTGTCAATCAAATGTGACCTCGCTGAAATTTTAGAGGAAAAAACATGTTATTTGTTTCCATCCACAAAGCAAATTAATGCTCATTTGTATTGTATAATGTACAAAGTAGCACTAGAATAAATTTAATTAATACAAAGATACTCTATTTTAAAGCAATCATACTTTAAAGCCTGCTACTGGTGCTCAAAAAAGAGGAAAGAAGGATGCCTTAAAAGGCGTCTTTGATAAAGCATGTATTCTTTACAGGAGATGTTTTGGTCTAGCCATTTTGATTTTTTTCAAATAACCATCCACTTATTGTTCAAGAGGCCCATGAGCAAAATGTCTGGGCTTGACACTCACTTTAGAAATAAAGGTTATTTTCTTGCCGACCCCATTCTAAATTATTCATTTATTTTAATGGATGCAATTCTGTGCCCCATGGCCACTCAATAAACAACTGGACCACGCTTCCTTCACAAACTGTCGAGAACAATGAAGGTCAGCAGAGGTATGCAGTATTTTAAATAGAATTCTGCCTGTGGGACAGAACTTTAGAAACTTCAAGGGATTCAGATATCAATATTTTTGGCCATTAAGATAGTAGGCAAACTAAAATGGTATATTTAAACACATTTTGAATTAAGTTTAAAAATCTAAAATTTGTAAAGTACATTTTTCTTTGAGGCAGCTGAGAACCCTAGAAAGTGATTTGTACTTACAGGTCAACACATATCTCATAATCATATTTCGCAGGAAGGAGATATTATTGACAATGTTCCAGACTCCCTTGAAGTGGGTAAGTATGTAGTGCACTGTGTTGGGAGTGGGTTTCAGGAGTAATTTTATTCTCGTCAGAAATTCAGCTGCAATGAGAGGAAAAAGAAATTAATGGGACACATTATGACACAATTCTGTAAAATGATAACTGTATATATATCCCATTCCAAATGAGGGCACTCAACAACAAACTTACGTGTGGTACAGTTTTCACCATAGAATCCTGTTCGGGTACAGTCACATTTATACTGGTCAAATCCTACACTCATACATACACCTCGATTCTGGCATGGATGGGAACAGCAAGGATTTGCTACAAAAACAGTAGAGACAGTGAATAAATAATTCTTCAGTGTCAATCTTGACTTAAGCATTTAATTGCTTTACTTACTATGAGTCAACTTCACAATAAAAAATTCAAGAAATATACAGGTAGTCATGGGAAAACTTTTTTTTTTACTTGCCTCACAGAATGGTTATAATGTAGGAATGCCAACTTCCTTTTCTAAATAAAGGTAACAGAATATTCCATCAGGGAAATCATGTCGCTAAATTTTTCTTAGAAACTTTAGATGCTCAAATTAGCCTTTAGAAGAGGCTCAAAGTAGGACTTTCAAAACTAAAGTGAATAGATCTAGTATTTTAATCAAACTTGGGTGTTTTTTTTTTTTTTCTTCTTCTTTCTTCTCTGTCATAAAGCTGGAGAAAGATCTGGAGGAAGAACATTCTAAGTTGAGAGAAAAACAAGTGCAAAGGCCTTGAGGCATGCCTGACAGCCGGAGAGGCAGAGGTGGAAGCTAAATTCAGAAAAGGTGAAGGCAGATCCTGTGGTTTTTATGGGAACTTGGATTTTAGTCCACGTGTCAAGGGAGATCATTGAATGATTTACAGTATTAAGGTGGCATGACTTAATTTACGTTAAAAAAAAAAAAAACGACAAAAACAAACTATAGAAAAATTTGCAAAGTAAGAACAGCTTGCTTTTAAGATATTCTGTTTATCTTAAAAAACAATCTGGGCTTCCCTGGGACGGGAAAGCACTAACTAAGGAAGTTGTATAATATAATTATTTTCATTCAATAACAGTTAGGTGGTATACAAAAGCATCTCACATATATTGATCAGATCTTCTTGTCTTATAATGACAACCTGCAAATTAGTATCCCCGTTCCTATTTAGCAGATGAGTAAATATGGGTTCAATAACGGGCCCATGAAGATTAGAGCTGAGGGCAAAGCGGGGCTATCCGTCCAGTTTATTTGGACTCGACTGGTCCGGACTCGGCCTCTGAATTCTGGGAGTATTTAGAATCCCTGGAATTCCCGGGAGAAGTCTGAGCAGAAACAGCCCGGGTGGACGGGCGCGGGCGCCAGGTACTCACTCACCTGCACCGCAGAGCGCCGCGGCGGCGCAGAGCAGCAGGGCTCGGGCGAGCATCTCGGCTGCGGGCGGGGCGCGGGGCCGGCGGAGGCGTAGAGGTGCGCGGACCGCGGCTGCGGGCCCGGAGGAGGCGCTGTGCGGAGTTCCGGGGCGTCCTCTGACGCTGGCTGCGAGTCCTTTGACAACTGGAAGCTAACGGAGAGGACCTTCCTTTTATGCGTGAAATAGCCCACGTGACGGCATGACTGTTTCTTTCCGCCTTTCCTTCCCCCCTTCCAAAAATTTTCCCCCTTTCTACTTAAGCAATTGCGTAAGACCCGGGTGGGGGTAGGATTTCTTTTCTTTTTTTTAGCTACGCAAACTAGAAAATCGGAAACTTGGGGAGTCGCGCTTGGCTTCCCTAAGGTGGGTGCAAAGCGGATCGCCCCCTCCAGTTCCGACCTTCCAGCGCCCCTCGGCCGGTTTCTCCGCCGCTGCCGCCGGGCTTCGCGCCAAACTCCTTTCCTTCTGTCGCGGTTTGGACCGAGGCTCCCGAGAGGGGGTCCGAGGTAGATCTTCTGGGTGGGGGCGGGGGTGGGGAGGGCGGCCTCCGGGCTTCCTCTCCGGGAATCGATCAGGGGCCTGGGAGGTCCCGGAGAGCAGGGAATCCCCTCGCACGCCCCCGCCCCCCACCCCCCACGGCTGGTCCCTCGGCTTTTGGGGGCCCAGGAAGTCCCAGTCTGGAGAGACTGGGGAGAATCGGGCCAAGCAAGGCTGACATGTTCTACTCATGTCATGTATTTCAGAGGTGTCCGGATTTCAGTGACTACCCTTAACCTCGTGTAGATGTACGCACGTACACAGCTTTAATTTTTTTTTTTATTATTTTTTTAACCGATCGAATGAACTGTAATAGCTATAGTCAGTGTACGTACCTGTAGGGTTCTTTTTCTAGCTAAGTTGTTCTCAACATAAAAAATACTGTTCTTCATGCCACCACCCGGACGTTGCTTCCTGGGGAGAGGAAATAAAGGTAAATTCCTCCCCTTAAAACTGACCCTGAGCACTTACCCTGTAAATAGTCAGTCTGAGATTGAGGGGTCACCGCTGTAACCTTTCCTCTCCTCCCGTGAACAGCAGAAGCGGAGGTGACCGGGATGTTTAAGGATGCTCACTGTCCAAAAGATCTGCTTTAAGGCATTTCTTTCTCTGCAGCATGATTTTCACTGTTTTGGTCACCACTCTTCACAGGAGATGCCAGTTGAAGGAAGTAGATTTTTAAAGCTTGCTTTGTGTGTGTGTTTTCTGCCTACTTCTCTAGGATGAGTTGTGACAAAGGATTAAAATACAACATTACATTTACTTTTCGGTTGTCTGGGTTTATTAGGGCCAGTTTTCTAGTCTCATTTTGGAAGGTAATTTGATGAGGAATTTGGATGGAATGGATGTAAAGAAAGGGTGATATTGACAGTTTTCAATTTCATCATCTTTTGCTTTTGTTTGATTCTGTCTTGTGGTCTGGAGGGGTGCGTGAAGGTGAAATGCCACCCCCCCACAAAAAAAAAAAGAGAAAAGAAAAAAGTCGCAGCATCTAGAGGCCTTTAAAAGAAGACAATCAACTTTTTTTCCAACATTTTGCTTAATGTGATTCTATGTGAGACAAATGACTAAAATTCTATCTCACCCAGGAAGCCTTTCTCCTCTAGTCATATTTAATCATTCCATTTGTGACACTCCTATTTATTGTACTGAGTCTTACATGAAATTTCAACTAAGAGCATAGATGTAAACAATCTTTTAATAATTCCAGTTTTCTGTTTCATTTTAAGTGGTAGGATGTGTCTACTCAAATTTTAAGTGGATATTTAGGACTACCAATTTGAGTTTGGTTAGATGCCAAGGAAGAATTCATACTCTGACTCTGTTGGCTTCATATTGTAATCCTGAATTCATTTTGAAGTCATCATCATCGTTGTCCTCATCTGATCTTAATTGTATACCTGCTGCGTATAAAAGTGTGTTCTATTGTTTGCAGGGAGACTAAATTCAAAGTGAGAACAAAACAGGGTGTTGAGAATAATCAGATTTAGACTACTTGGAATGTAAAGAAATTGAACTCCATTTCATAGTGGAAATTCAATTAAAAAATACCTATTCGGTTAAACTACTTGGTTTAATCTGTAACTTCCATAGCACAATAGAGTAAAGAGAATTGCATGTACCTATGCAGTCAGAAAATAGTTCAAGGAGAAAATGACACTTTAAGGATGGGTGCAGTTTAGAAAGGAAGTCCAGTTACGGACTTGAGGAAAAACTGTTTATGATTTATTAACTTTGGTAAGTCTGGGACAGTAAAATAGAATGGGTAGTGCATTTAGGAATGCTGGTCATGGGGGAATATTAAATGTCCCAAACCAAATCAAAATGGCTAAATCCTGTCCTATGTGGAAAAGTACTATGATTATTATGCCATGATATGTCACAGCATAAAAAATAAGATTATAATCATGTGAGACTTATGTTTCTCACATGTGTCTGTGTTTAGTGTTTCTGTGTTCATTTTAGACAAATACATGTATCTGTTATATAAAATGCATTAGTCTCTGAAATTTGTTGGAGAGTTCTGTTAACTGAAAATAAGAAAGCGTATTAAAAAAATCTTCCAGAGCATTCTGCTGCGTTTTACTGCCCCCTTCTGCTGCTTCAGTTTTTATCAACTTCTTTTTCTCTCTTGATTGTTGTAAAGATCACTCGGTAGATTTTGTGTCTGATGTTACAACATTCTTAAAAGTCTACATATGCAGTGTTCATCTGAGATTTAACCTTCATGAATATACTAAAAAAGGAATGAAATATGTGTTAGTTGAAGTAATAAGCCATTCATATGAGCTAAAAGAAAATGAACATTAAAGCCTATTAATACCCAAAATTCCAAAGGCACTAACATTTTCAAAGAAGATATTTCTAACTGCTTTGAACAGGGTTCTACCATTCAGGGCCTTCCCAGGTTGCACTAGTGGTAAAGAACGCGCCTGCCAGTGCAGGAGACATAAGAGATGTGGGTTCGATCCCTGGGTTAGGAAGACCTTCTGGAGGAGGGCATGGCAACCCACTCCAGTATTCTTGCCTGGAGAATCCCATGCACAGAGGAGCCTGGCGGGCTGCAGTCCATAGGATCGCAAAGAGTAGGATACAACTGAAGTGACTTTGCACACACATGCGCACTATCCAGACATGGGAGGATGGTCATATTTACTATCTTAGACATGGAACTTTTTTCTATTTCCCTGTCTTCACCTTTAGCCTATTCTAATTCACGCAAAGATAGTGCAGATTGCCCTTGTCTTTTTTATTCAGGACAGGCTGACTAGAAAGAGAGCTTTACTATCTTGCATCTTGCCTGAAGAGACCTTTTTAACAAGTTTTTGCCACAGTGTACATCTGTTTCTTGAAGGGCAGAAACAGATGTACTCATAAAGTACCCATAAAAGACCTCTACATTAGTCTTTTAGTGCGTGCGTGCATGCTAAGTTGCTTCAGTCATATCTGACTCTTTGCAACCCTATGGACTGTAGCCTGCCAGGCCCCTCTGTCCATGGGATTCTCCAGGCAAGAAGTCTGGAGTGGGTTACCGTGCCCTCCTTCAGGAGATCTCCCCAACCCAGGGACCGAACCCGCATCTCTTATGTCTCCTGCATTGGCAGGCAGGTTGTTTACCACTAGTGCCACCTGGGAAACCCATACTTTTCGTAAATCCTAGTTATTTACCTATTGCTGACTACACAAGATAGGAGTTTCAACTAGAAAAACAAGAGCATGTGGACAAAGAATGTCACCTCTCATTTCAGTAAACAAGGGATGTAAAACCCTCAGACTCGGCTCCCTGCCCCCACCCCAGCCTGATGGTACAGAACAGTGGCTCCCGAGGGGAGGTAGACAGGCTTCCACTGCAGTGACTGTGCGCCCTGAGGGGACACAGGGTGCAGAGCAATGGGATAGTGGCCCTACCAAAGAAATAATTTCAATAATCCCAGGGTCTTGCATTTTCCCATGTGTGGACAGCACTAAATTCACTAGCTTGAGATATCTGGTTTCTTTTGATTAGCAGGAATCTTGATCTTCCACTTCCTGGGTTTTGGAGTTTTTGTTTTGCAAAAACACTTGTATATCCTGACTCCTTCTTTACCTCTTCAGAAAAGTCCTTCAGAGTTATCTGAGAGATGGTATTCTGGGCTTAACACCAAAGAAAACATAATTCTCAACTTTTAGGTTGTGCAGGGTTTTTTTGTTTTTTTTTTTTTTCAGTTGACAAGGACAATTTTTTTAATTAAAAAAAAAAATCCTTGTCAAATAAACTGATGAAGAAATACCAAACAATATTTAGTGCTAAGTTTTATTTTAAAAAAGTATCTCCTTTTTCTCACCTTAGTTCCCGGATAGATTTTTCTTTTCCTTCATTTTTATGGTTGTATATCATAACTACTAAGGTGACTCAAGGTAGATTGAACATGGTCTTTGTGTTAGAGCTAGGAATCCTAAAAGGGGATAAGGAGCAGCGTGTGCTGGGGCCAGCATAATGAGACCACACTGACAGTGACAGATTAAACCGAGTTTAAATGAGCTTGGAAGTTGCCACTCTATCCTAACAAAAATCTGAACAAAGTGAAAACTCAAAATGCTATTCTTAGATCCTCCAAAGAAGTGAGGTGACAGGATAAAAAGCTGCCCTCAAAATTGGAGGGGGCGTCCATGGTGGCTCAGCGGTAAGGAATTCGCTGGCAATGCAGGAAACACGGGTGCAATCCCTGGGTCAGGAAGATCCCCTGGAGAAGGAAATGGAGGCCCACTCCAGTATTCTTTTCTGGGAAATCCCATGGACAGAGGAGCCTGGAGGGCTACAGTCCATGAGGTTGCAAAAGCATCTACACGACTTAGCAACTAAACAGCAACAGCAACAAAATTGGAGAGACTGGCCATACAGAGAAGCGCAGTTTATCAGAACTGCAACCCACAGGCAAACACCTCCCTGAAAACCAGCGCCTATGTAGGGAAACCCAAAGAGTAATGGATTGCGCTTA